CCCCCCGTCACTTTTGTGACGTTATGTGAAACCCAACAATTGACTTTTGTACAAGTTATTACGGTCTGCGTATATTTCTAAGTCATTGTAGATATGTCCATTGTGAGCATAATACGAAATAATCCTACCAGCCTACATTCATAATTATATTCACCTGGCTGTGTCACTATATTTTTATAGGATAGACTATATTTTTCGGTAATGCTCTCAATTTAATTCTTTCATATTATATAACTTTGCAGTTCTGACTGAGTACAACCTTAATCATTACAATGAATGGTGTCATCGGATGCTGATCAAAAATGTGAACAAATAGATTTTGTTTCTCCATCAGCAGATTGTTCGGTTGTTCTGTAGCCTTGAAAGTGCCATTAAACGATCACTACTTATTGTAATGAAAGTGAGGGTAAGAAAATAGGAAGAATTCTAAGCAGGTACTTTGACCCTTGAGAACATTTTGTTTGAAAGGTAGAGGACATTTTCAAGACTTCCTAATGAATATGCTTAGAATAGTTTTTTTAGACATTTCACTTGACTTTAGCAAAGGTAAACACGGAGCATTGTATTATTCAAATTTTTTTAAATACTATAAGAATAGTTTTATTTGAACATTGAACTTCATACTAACTTAAAAAGTCACTGTCTTACTAAAGTAACTGTGTATGTGAAACTTGTTCAGCAAAAAAGTTCACTCATCAATAGTTGGGGTACATGCCTGCTTGTTCTGCATGCCTTGGCTGTAGTGGTGTTAAATTGTGCCCATCATGGTAACTGGGTCCTGGTGGTGTGTATTGTGCCGGCAAACCATTATGTCGCGGAGGGGTAAATGGTGCAAGTGAAGCACTATGTTGTGGGGTATATGGAACAGGTAAAGCACTAGACTGTATCATCTCCCTCAGCATTGCAAATCCATCAGCAATAGATCCAGTCAGCTGTTCCATGCTGGTGCTAAGTCTTTACATGTGTTGGGAATGCTCCTTGCCCAAAAATGTGAACAAATAGATTTTGTTTCCCCATCAGCAGATTGTTCGGTTGTTCTATAGCCTTGAAGGTGCCATTAAACGATAATTGGGACAAAAACTGACTTAGTATTTTCTATATTTTACATTATACAGTATTTAGTGGCAAGTTAGCCATGGCAACTGGTTTTTTGGCTGTTGCTATGGCTAGATTTGCCACAGACAGTATTATAATTATACATACAAAATCAAGAATTAATTATTCGAATTGATGGTATTCATATAAAGCCACCCATGTCAAGAAAGTGGAATTGGAATATTTTACTGAGTTTCGACTTTGTGCAAGGTGTTTGATATTCAATTGCACTTTTCCTACCTCCTGAACAGGCATCTTAGCCTCCTTAGGGGCTGTTTACATGTTGGAAGGCGGTTGAAATAAGTCACTATAAGCTAAACAAAAGTTCCAAATGTTTGTTTAGAGAACACAAATGTTGTAGAGAAGATCTTGTAGTTCAAGAAGATTATTATTGCTGCTTGAACAGCCGTTCGTTTACAGTTTATAATCTATCTTAAGAAGATAGTGTAGTTTTTGGTTGAATCGTGCACTGTGACTTATTTCAATACATCAAAATAATCCTGTCCTGGCAAAGCAGGGTCATATGAACAGCTCCTTATTCAGCAAATTATGCATGTTGCCTTTGATCCCTTTGGGAGTGAGGCAGCACTTTCCTTGCGATAGTAACTTCTAGTTGTCCATTAAAAATATTTGTAAACATATTTATAAATATATTTGTAACCTTGAAATGTGAACCTTGGCATTTATCCAAATACTGGCTGAAGACAAGCAGTCTATGTCCTCAGTACTAGTTTACCCACAGGGTAGTGAATGCTGCCTTGGTATAGATTTGTTGTTCCCAAATCTTTAAAGGGACATTGGCAACCAAAATTTTTATTACTTATATCTATTAGGTATACTTACGGAATATTTAATTTCATATTTTGGCCGGTTTGACGCGTTTAGTTGCTGAGAAAATTTGATTGAATTTGAGAAAATTTGAACAGTTGTCCGCCATTTTTAAAATAAGCGCGTATGCTAATTTATGCCACAAAATACATTATCTGACGTCATTGGCTGGGTAAACACAATCTCACGACTATAAACAATACCGTGTATTACCGCGCGTAGTGCATTTTGAGCCAAAACAAAAGGCAGAAAAGTTTTACCAAGTATGTAACTTGTTTGTAACACTATTTCTCATAGTATATATCCTACTCCGTGTTAAATAAGCGCAGAAATTCGAGTGTAACAAGACAAATACTAATGCAATATTTTATGATCAATTACCTGTATTGTAAATTGCGCCATTTCTTGCTTTCCCAGTCGCTCGATATGTTTTTATCTGATAGTGTAGACTTCTCTTGTTTGATTGCGAAGAGTGTTGGCCAGTATAACGCTCAAAACCACATATTTTTAGCTAACATAACACGCAACGCAATAGAATTCTCTCTTGTAGTTTTGGTGCTAACCCAGCCAATGACGTCACAAAGTTCATTGACCTTCGAGATCATTTTTCAAAAATTTTTTCCAAGATGGCGGCGAAACTGGCCGAAACACAAAGTTTGCATGCATTTTACTCGTAGACTAAAATGTTCGAGAAGGAAATGATAATATTTTCATTGTTCGGTTGTCAAGTAGGATTGAAATAGCCAATAAAAATTTTCGTTGCCAATGTTTTACAAATAGAGCCTGATACAAACCTTAACCTGAACGCTTTCCACCCACAGCAAAGTTTATATTTAGTACCTAATCAAAATGTCGCAGCAGAAATTTAAATTTCACACAACGACAACAACAATCTAATTATAGCACTAACAGCCCACTAAACGGCTGAATTTAAATTGAAACTGCAATGAACTTATAAAATTAACAAAAATAATCGCAAATTAGCGACATATATTGCACCCCGATTGCACGATCAACGAACTGACGTATAATTATAAAGTATATAATATATAAGTATACTTTATAACTATACGTCAGTTAGTCGATAGTGCAATCGGAAGGCGATTTAATATAAGCTACATTTGCAATATATTTCACTAATTTGCGATTATTTTCTAATTTTACTGCAGTTTTAATTTAAATTCAGCCGTTTAGTGGGCTGGCTATAATTGTAGTTGTGATCATTATAAAATATATCAACAACGATAGTATAATCTAATTAGCACCAGCCAATCAAATGACAGATTTAAAAAATTAATTGTTTGTCTAATCGGCCAATCGGACGAAAAAGCCAGTATCTGGCTTTTTACATGTGGCGCGGTAAATAATTGTATCAGCCCTTCGTTCGCCGCCGCCAATTAATCCTGGCGAATGAAAACATAAGGGCCTGATACTCAGGATAAAGCATGCATTCAGCTGCATGTTACTATGTTAAACGTTCACGGAGAGTATTTGAGAAAGCGCTAAATATTATGAAGATGTTTTCCGTCTCAACGTCGCAAAAAATCGTTTTAAAACGTTTAAAGAAGAAGCCAGCTAGACCACGAAGATTCTGGGTAAGGCCAGGACGAACAAGTGCTTGGTGGGACAACTTTGCCAGCCAAACTGTTGTACCAGAAGAATGGAGGGAGAACTTCAGGATGAGTCGAGAATCCCTGAACTCGTTAGCTGAAGAATTGAGGCCGCACATTGAAGGAAACAACACTATCATGAGGACAGCAGTCGATGTTGTGAAGCAAGTAGGTGTGGCATTATATTATTTGAGCGATGAAGGTCGTATGCGAAAAACGGCTAATGCTTTTGGACTCTCACGCCAAGCTGTGTCGAAAATCGTCAGGAAGGTGTCTGAAGCCATAACAATCCATCTTGGGCCAAAGTATATTAAGCTTCCAAGTACAGAAGAAGAAGTGCATAACCTAGTGAAAACGTTCCATAGAGCACATGGCTTCCCTCAATGTTTGGGCGCAATTGATGGAACACACATTGAAATCAAACAACCAAGCATAAACTCGACTGACTATATTTATCGCAAGGGTCGTTATAGCCTTAATGTTCAGGTTACATGCGACTTTAAGTACTGTTTTATGGATGTTGCTGTCAAATGGCCTGGGAGTGTGCATGATGCAAGAGTGTTTTCAAACTCAATTTTGAATTCTTCTCTGAAGAGTGGGAAAATACCTCCTTGCAAACGTACAATCATACCTGATGAGGATCCTCTGCCGGTGTTCATTCTAGGAGATCCTACATATCGACTAATGCCATATGTTATGAAGGAGTATTCAAATGCTGGCTCAATTGTGCAAGAGCAATATTTCGGGTTGACCTTGTGCATGTCTCGCATGGTAATTGAGCGTTCCTTTGGTCGCCTTAAAGCAAGGTTTGGAGCTTTGAAGAGAGCCATGGATATAAATATGGATGAGCTCCCGGGTGTCATTTATGCATGTTTTGTGTTGCATAATTACTGTGAGCTGAAGAATGCAAAGATTGGTGAAGAAAAGGTTACTCTGCCATTAATTATGATAGAGAGTTTCAACCAGCTGTTGTCACCAACAACTTCACTACTTATTGTAATGAAAGTGAGAATAAGAAAATAGGAAGAATTCTAAGCAGGTACTTTGACCCTTGAGAACATTGTGTTTGAAAGGTAGAGGACATTTTCAAAACTTCCTAATGAATATGCTTAGAATAGTTTTTATAGACATTTCGCTTGACTGTAGGAAAGGTAAACACGGAGCATTGTATTATTCTAATTTTTTTAAATACTATAAGAATAGTTTTATTTGAACATTGAAATTCATACTAACTCAAAAAGTCGCTGTCTTATTAAAATAACTGTGTATGTGAAACTTGTTCAGCAAAAAAGTTCACTCATCAATAGTTGGGGTACATGCCTGCTTGTTCTGCATGCCTTGGCTGTAGTGGTGTTAAATGTACCCATCAGGGTAACTGGGTCCTGGTGGTGTGTATTGTGCCGGCAAACCATTATGTCGTGGAGGGGTAAATGGTACAAGTGAAGCACTATGTTGTGGGGTATGTGGAACAGGTAAAGCACTAGACTGCATCATCTCCCTCAGCATTGCAAATCCATCAGCAATAGATCCAGTCAGCTGTTCCATGCTGGTGCTAAGTCCTGCCATGTGTTGGGAATGCTCCTTGTCCATACGGTCCATTTTATCAAACAGTCTTTTCTTTATCTGCATCTTTTCTTGTGCTATGGTTAATAACTGATTATCCGTAGAAAGTTTTCTTTTTCATTTTTCTTGTTTGTGGCCTCTCAGCTTTGCATCCCGCAAATTTCGTCCTTCATTTACTGTAGACTCTTGCGAATGCGATGGCATTTCTTAAGATGCTTCAGCCTCAGGGTTCTCAGTATCTGTTGATTTCTCACTCTCAAAGCTTGTACTGGATGCAGGATTTGTTGGAGTTGGACTCGAGCTTCTTGATTCTACTTCTTCTGTAATGTCGGTAGACTCAATTCCAGCATGTGTGGTTGATGTAGCAGGAGATCCTCCCCATATAGCCTCACAGGATTCAAAGTAGCGGAGAACTACCCTGCCATGTCCACTTTTCCTGCCACTATCGACGGCTGCCCTGAATTTCGATCGTACAGCCTTAAGTTTGGTGGTTATAATTACCTTGGTCATCTCTTCTTTCTTGTGCGGAAAATCTTTCCCGATGCACTTGGCGTTTTCTGCGGATGGATACTGCGACATGAATAGTTCAAGGCTGTCTGACTACTTGCTCTGACAAGATTCCCAGTCGACATTTGTCTCACCTTATACTCCTCCGTAACTTTAAGGAGAAGCTCGACTTCATCATCCGTCCAAATAAATGATTCAGGTTTGCTTTGCTTTTCGATTTAGTTGTTCCTTTCGTTGACTTGGCCATTTCAATTCGAACAAACTTACTAAAGTTAATACGAAGCGAACCGCGAATACCAAACAAATACGAGATGTTTTTTTATAAATTGCGCCAAATTAACATAGTTGTTATGTGTGCACACATAGATTATTGCAATTGGAGCCTGCGATCGTTTGGAAGATCTCATATTACTAAGCAATGCGCATGATCTACGCCGGGCGCTATCATATTTCCTCCGTTTATGCGTTTACGTGTGGACGGGCGAAAACGATTCGAATACGATACGTGTGAACGCGAATTTTTTCAAAAACGGAGAAAAAAACCTCCGTTTTCAAAAATATCCGCATACGTGTGGACGGGGTCTCAGCTTTGGACGCTGAATTTATCTTCGGTATGCATGGGCACTGGCTACTACATTTTACTTGCGCTTCCAAATCAAAGAATACAGTGCAATATATTTACTTAGCAAACACATTTTGTGATTTTCGTTATCGCTATCTATATGTTCTCGGCATTTGTGATTACACACAGTAGCGTAGCCAGCCCGACGATTTAGTACCGTTATGCAAATATTTTCGTGTTCATTGACTGTGAAAACAATCAAGGATAACTTACAGAAGGAGTTTGACAGCCATTGACTCCCCATCGAGTAAATAGTTACGAAGCTTTAAATAATTTTATCCACGTCTTAATCTTTTAAAATCATTTCTGCTGGTAGTGCTAGACCCAGGCCTAAATTGCATCGCACATGTTCAGCTCATCAGCTGGCGTAATTCACTTCCCAATTCCCATTATTATAGACTCTAAGCTCGCTTAACTCTTCTTGCGCCAATTTTGATTCGGGCCATGACTAATGACGTCTTGTATTATACATGTAAAGTATATTATATACACATGCATTGCATTAACGATCATAATTGAGATCATTGATTTTTATTGGTACCATGTAGTATGTCGAACCTTGAAATGTGAACCTTGGCATATATCCAAATACTGGCAGAAGTCACGCAGTCTATGTCCTCAGTATAATGTTAACATTTAATTTTCCCACTTCTTTTCTCCTTGGAAAGGAATTCTGCCTTGAGATACATTCAGCTTCGGACGCTAATTTATCCTCGGTATGAATGGGCACTGGCTACTACATTTTCCTTGCGCTTCCAAATCAAAGAATACAGTATAATATATTTATTTAGCAAACACATTTTGTCATTTTCGTTTTCGCTACCTATATGTTCTTGGCATTTGTGATTGCACACAGTAGCGTAGCCAGCCCGACGATTTAGTACCATTATGCAAATATTTTCGTGTTCATTGACTGTGAAAACAATCAATTTCTAAAGAAATGAATACTGATGATTTTGAATTTGCATAGCAGGACTAATATAAATACCGGGCTGGCTACGCCACTGATTACACACAGCCACAGGATCTTGCAAACCCCGAGATATTTTAAATGATCAAAGAACAAAACAATGTAGTGACATTTGACTAATCATCTACTCGTTTTAAATGCACAAACTAGGCAGTTTACGTCCGTTTTATACGTCGAATTTTGGTCCCGTGACTCGCGTCGTATGCAATTAAGACAATAGCTGTTGACATGATAAACCTCATTAAGGTAATTCCGCAGTAATTGTTCTCGAAATGAAAATGTGCTGAAACTTCCCAGGCATGGAGTTTATGATATACTTAAAGTAAAATCACACAAAAAAGTCAGGGTCACCGAACTCGTTAAGAAGATATGATAATCACAATATACCACCTTTACCACCAATATGGCGCCATCTTGACGCTCATTACGAGTAACAGCAAACGCAACAGCCTGATATTTATTGACGTTTTTAGCGCCGATTTTGCTTTAGTAAACCTATCTTGTAATTATTTTTGAAAAAATACTGTGTTTTGAGCAAAATGAAACTACTAACGTGTACAATTCTGATCCACATATGTCTTTTCCACATTTCTTTACGTATCTTTCTTTGGGAACATGCATTGATAAAGCATTTTTTTTCAAGATCCAGAAATGATTTTTCTTTTAATTTCGGATATGAAATGTAAAATGCATTAAGGAAATAAATTATCAGTTAAAAAACGGTGGTCACCGATCTTTTTAGGGAATTGTGGCATTAAAACCTGAAATACAAGTAAATAAGTATACTACAGACACAGACCCCAGCTACACTTTTGTATGCCTTTTTTGAAAACATTGATTTTAACGTAATTCTTTGCACGAATGTAACCAAAGATGTTTTGAAGTAACATAAAATTGTCACAAAATTATATATTTTTTTAATTAAACGGTACGTATAATGGATGAAATTATAAGTTATAAGATGCGCGCAGTAAAAGTGCGCAATGCAAAACTGCGGAATTACCTTGATTTTTATTATTCTCACTTAATTTTGCGGTTTTGATACGCGTAAATAGAAAAAGAGCATTGAATTTCGCGAAAGCTTTTGGAACCACATTTTATTTAATTTTCTATAAAAATCTGAATTACAATTTTCGAAACAAATCAACATAAGGTACATACTGTCATTAAATAATTTGTCATTTATGTGCGTATACGGCCTGAAATTGTTTGAATTTTATGATACAAATTTTTTTACAAAGGGTATTTAATTTCGCGATTTTTTTTCAATCGCGAAAACAGCGAAATTAGAGTCGTGCAAAATTGAGTACGGATAAGCCGGTACTTTATCTGAATGATAAAATGAGATTTCTTTGTTTTAGTTTGGTATAAGGGTTGTAAAGGACTCGTGGTCTGAAGCACTACTTTCACCTGAACGACACTGGACGCCAGAGGAAATACTTGACCAGCTGAAGGACTATCTGGAGTTTTTGTCTTTTTTAAAAAACTACTTTCTCGACGCCGAAGGCTAGTAAGTACTCTCTGAGCCAATTTGCGTCCCAAACTGCCAGCAGGGAAAACGATTTACATTGTAAGATAAAGAAATTCCATAAATTACTGCGCTAGTTTTTATTATTTAAAAATATTAAAAAACAATAGTCCTTCAGGGCACGTTCAAGGAGCCATTTACACACTCAATTACAATGCAATACAATACAATACAATACAATTTTAAAAATCTATATAAAAAATCATTCACATGCAATTATATATACAATATACAATAATACAAAATGAGAAATTCAAATGAGGTCAAGAATAGTTTTAAATTGATAAAGGCTTATGCCAGAGACTTTTGCTGTTTTAGGGAAATCGTTCCATACTGATGCAGCGGAGTAACTAATACTCTTCTTCAAAAAGGTTTTTTGCGATTTGCTAAGTGCGAAATGATTTTCCTTGCTTCTTAAATCGATCTTTGGTTATTTTTTACGCTAGACATTTCACAGCACGATCTGGACAATAACACAAAGCTAATGCCCTCCTCAGGGGTATTTTAGGTTTTGGGATTTGAGTTGAAGCTTCCCCAAATTTCAGGGGAGTTTCATTTGGGGGGGGGGAGAGATTCCCCCCTCCTATAGTCACAAACCAAGACGTCATTTCCTATCCTTAACTATTTCCAAGTGAGGGTATAGAAATGATGTCTGGGTTCACCAACTGCATCTCCAAGTGATTACCCATTTTACACTCCAGGTTATTATGCCTTATCACTTACCAGTTTAGTATTTATAATGATATTATATTCCATTTTGGGGGAAAATTAGTCCCCCCAGAATTTAGCTATTTTCAAATTTGGAGGAATTGGGGATTTTGGGGGGGATCCCCCCTCAAAATACCCTTGCCTTCCTTGAAAATGTTAAGAACAAATTAAATAAAGACATGTTAACCAGACTTCATACTCAGTAATGAACTAGTTTTAATAAATAGACAATTTTATACTAGTAAATTCTTAATTATTTAATAATTTTAATCTCGATTCTATATAACTATATCCTCATTAAGCCTGTTTTCCACTTCAACCATATCGTACCGAAACGTAGCGTGTTTTTTTTCCTGAGCGGTAGTGTGGAACTAATGACTTCGACACAAAAGAAAATTATACGGTACGTTACGATACGGTTGAAGTGGAAAACAGGCTTTACATTTAAATTAGTGTCGAAAAGCCTCATTGAACACGATAAAATATGTCATTACACTGACCTGAAAGGTCAAGTGTCTTAAATCCCTAATTTTCAGTTTTCTTCTGTTTTCTTCGTCGTCGAAAAATCGAGTTTGCGTTCGCTCTTCGCAGGCTCAGGGTACGTGAAACGATTAAGCCAAAATGCCAACGATTCTTTAATTTAAATATTACAGTAACAAGCTCGTATTTGTGTAGACAATAGCCGGCTCATTCCATGCTTGTGGTACATTTTTCGTTTATCAGCCCATAGACTTGTACGCACGCGCACAGTTCCGAACTCCAAGGGTAGAGTGCTTCAGTGATATATTCAGTCTGGTTTCGGAATGGCGGCTTTTCACTGAGTGATCAAAATATATTTCACAGTTTCGTTGAATTTTCAAAGAATTGGACCTTTTTCTATGGATTTACGTTGTGTCGCACTCTGGACTTTCTTGCGTGTTGAATTAATTTTTTTTCTGTAACGACTCGAAAACCCCAAAATTTGGACCCAGCGAACTTATACAATATATTAGAATATAAACAAGGACAAGTTAAAGGTTTGACAGTTTGACTACACAACGTAGTTTTAATTTAATAAATCTCCTGATCCCTTACGATAGTTTTAGTCAAATGTCGACATTATACCTTACATGTATTAAAATTCACGCAGTACTAGAATTTACGCAGCGCTGGATGCGCAAATTTTAGTACTGCGCGAAATATAGTCCGCGCGAAAAGCTTTGTGGTAGCTATAGTAAAGATAAAGCGTGCGTTCAAAATACCAACAAGAACTAAAACATTTATTGTATGGTTCTCTTTTGCCTAATACAATAACATTAGTTCGACGCGAATTTTAATACAAGTAAGGTATGGTATCATATTTCATAATATAACGAACAATGTAAACTAGCAATACATTTCGCCGAGCATAACTTTAGAATTATCCTTTTCGTAATAGTATTATTGGAACTAGAATTCAAAACACTATTTATAGTGTTATTTAGTGCGGCCCATGAAACGTACATCAAAACAACGCGCTTTTAAATCGTAGGGGTCTGGAAAAACCGGAAATCGATTCCGTTGGTCAAAGTACTTCCAGTGGCATGGTCATCCTCGTACCCAGGGTCTTTTTGGGAAAGACCCTGGTATCGGCTGCTCACGTGACCTTACAAAAATTGAAGGCCCAAGGGGGGAGTGGCAAAGTATCAAATTACATGCTTCCACAGAAAACGTTAAATTTCAAATACCAGGAGTGGGATTTTACGATACATAGTTCGAAGCGCCCGCTAACTTCTATTTTATACTTCTGTTTGCTTTTAAATTACAAAACACTGTAGCATTTTATCAACAGTCAAATCAAGAAACAAATAAAATGAATACTTTAAACTTCGAAGTTGGGTATTCTCTCACAAACATATTTTCATACCAAACTGGTCAGTCGTGAACGTTTTTATATATTTTCACTTTTATCTGTTTCTAAAATATGCCTTTAGATTTGTTGTTTGAAAACGTTGATAAACTTTGTGCAGATTTTCTAATAGTAGGCGTCTTATTTATTGAAGATTGATAAAATTTTGAAATGTAAATTTTTGTCATAAATCACATTGTAAACATGTGGACACTGCCAAACAGAGACAAAATGCTCACTTTAAATCTGTCGATGGTTTATGTACGAGTCAATTCCAACTGCGATCATTCCCCCTGGCGACCCCCCGGGATTTGACAATAGTTTAATCACGCACAGGCGGGAATTTGACGCGAATCTGAGCCCGCCCTAACGGGCATTTGACTCCGTTCGCGGTCGCACGAAATTGGTCGGCGGTTGCACGCAAAAAATCGTAATCTTTAGAGCATCTTTACACATCTTTTACTCATCTTTATATCTTTTATAAGTATTCATGTGGAAAATTATATGTAAATTTTACGTTTTATATAATATCATTGAAATATACCTTTGTTCGAAGTCTGGAACAAGAGCAGGGATGTTAAAAAAGCTGTTGTTGCTTCCTGTTTTACTGAATTTGTCTCAAAAATAAAAGATAGATAGGTAGATAGGTAGGACAGGAGGTTGGCCGCAGGTAGTAAAGTACAACAATTTTCAGCCTCAGGGCATTTATCAGGCGGTATATACAATCACGGCTTTAGCCTTTTTTTGGCCTCCATGCATTATAAAGTCATGGGGTAAAAGCAATATTTATCACAGTATTTTTCTGATATACAGTACACATTTTATAATATGAACATAGTCATAGATAACTCCATAAACCCGGCACGGAATAAACCACGGCATAAACACTGATATCACTCAGGTTGATATGCACCACAGATATAACACTTACTTAGTCTTAGAGTTTGATTCAGTATTATATTTCACGAAGTACTTCATTACAGTAACGTAATTTCATTACGTAATTTCATTACGTAATTTCATTACAGCAAAGCTAATGTCACAATCAAAGCTATTTATCGAACTTATCATGCGGACTGCATTCTCTAAATGTCCTAAATGTCAAACATATTAATCCCCGAGCCGACGGCGCGAAGCGCCGTGGGAGGGTACTAATTCCCCCTGGCTATTTACACCCGGGGAAACGAAAGCATTAGCCAAGTCTAAAGTTCATCAATGAGCGCGGGCGTGGGTTACCGTGAGTGGTTCGGTGGGTGGTCATCCTCACTGATCTAAAAAATATGGCGGACTGTCATGAATAGCGGACACTGATTGGTCCAATTTAAAGTTTGCATTATAACGACTGTCGACTGTATGACGACAGCGAAATAGCAAACATTTGTTGATTTGATGATTGATAAATTTCAGTTGCAAATATATTTAATTTTTGCTCGCATTTTTGCAAGATTTTGTAAATTTCGAGAAGGCTAAAAGAAGGGAGCTGACGTCAACGAAGGTAAGTTTGTTTTAAATATTGATTTTATTATTGCTTTAAAACCCGACGGCCGCTTTGGCCCTTTGGCTTTGCGTATATGAAACAACTAAACAAGACAGCATATAATTTTAGTGTATTAATAATATTGATTCTCTTTTTTATTACGCCTATATTGAATTTTTTAAATAAGAAAGAAAGCAAAGTTATTTGCATGCGAGAATTTGAAATCATTTTATTGCAATCTCAAAGTTTATCGATATTAAAAAGCCATTTTAATAATTAAAGGCAGTTTTAATAGTTTTATAAAGAACATTTTAAAACGTTTTGCGAAGCTTTTCTGGTTGAATATTACCTTAAATTGAAGCTTTTATACTGTTTAATAAACGAGCAGGAGTGTTTTATTAGGTTTAAAGACACAAGCGCGCAGAGCGAGTGGCTTTAGACCTAATAAAACACGACCTGCGAGTTTATTAAACGGCTTCAAACACGACTACAAATTCAATAGATTTACTGCCTTGTTAGTATTCTTTATATAAAGAATACTAATGAGGACACGACTACAATAGATACTGCCTTATTAGTATTCTTTATATAAAGAATACCAATTAGGAGTGTTTTATCAGGTTTAAAGCCACTGCGCGTGACATATTATGGTTGACATGATTCGTCAAAAAGCTTATGAATTATTAATGAGTGTTTGAAATTACGTATAATAACATACCTAACATATATATGTTGGGAAATTGATAATTTTGTAATTAAAAGTGATATTTTTAGGCGATTTTTCATTTGTAGGAATATTCTTAAAAAATTATCGTGTTACCATGACAACAACTTTGGATACTTCATGTTCGGAAAATACAATGGTTTTGTCAGCAAGGCGAGGGTTTCTGCATGCATGTATTTTCTAGTTAAGTTACAAATACGCAGTACATACAGTATTCGCATTTGTAACATACACGCACAGAAGAGTCTTTGACTTATCTTTGAGTAGGCTATTGTCAGATTATTTAACTGTAGGTTTGATAACAGGGAGGTATACTTCGACATATTCCTTGAGCATCAAGTTTCAACAGTCCGAGTAGCATTGTTTACAAGCAACATAGTTTGCGATGTTTCAGAAATCAAAAGATTTATTTATTTCGTTACATATCTCAGTATTAAATAAATCCTTTGGGATAGACATCAACAGTTAAATAACAGCTACATCTCGGTGTAGAAACATATTTTCTTGTAACGTTTGCGACGTGTTGATTTCTTCGACGAGCCGTATATCAGCATAATTTGTCTATTGAAATCTGATCTATCTTTGCTCACCGACATTTTGCCCAAAATGAAATTTGATGATATTCATTATTGTGTAACTTGATAGTATTCATGACAAATAAAACATACAATTTTGTAAATATTTCCGGCATGATTTCTGCGTTACTTCTTCGCTCACTCCTTGCTCAATTACAAAAGAGGGTCCTGAAGGGGGGGGGGGGTCTCAACCCCATTTCCCACCTGAACTTTTGGCAAAATCCCAGTCCCAGTTGGATTTTTATTAGAAATCCCAGTCCGAGTTATTGAAATCCCAGTCAACAAAACTTATTTCTCGGTAGAACGTGTGTGTGCGCACCGTGTGGCAGAAGCGGTTGTGCTTTGCCTTTGAAGTATATACTAAGGGTTAAATGAAGTCTAAAAAGTCTAAAAATAGATCAATCCCAGTTCCCATTTTACCCCTTCAGGACGCTCACAAAACGTACTTTTTGTTATCTCCCAGATTCTGGGAGACACGTGACCAGCCGATACCAGGGTCTTTCCCAGCAGGTGGAAAGTCCCTGCGACGGAGATTGTGGCATGGTTTACACGTGCATCGAGTGCACGTGCATCGTTTACACGTGGCGCGTGCGTGCGAGTAAAAACCCAATATTTGAAAAATTCAAAATAAATATTTCTACTCTGTCACGTATTCAAACGAAACTTTGTACATGAAAGCGCTTGAATACAAGACGTATTTTACTCCCATTGACTCTGAGCAAATTCTGAAGAGTTTAGAAGATATTCAAGTTTTTTCTCGATATGAAATACAGAATGTTTGGCCAAGCGGTGAGTAAATATATGATTGTTTTGGTTTGTGTAATATTTTGATGGCATATGACCCCCCCCGGATTAATACAATGGTGCTTTTCGTTTTAAAGGGCGGGTAAATACTCGGTGGGATATTTACAATTAGAAACAATAAAAATCGTAAAAAATGCAAAATTTTGAATTGGCGCGTGACGAGAAATTAACCCATTTACTGGCAGTACTCTACCCATTGACAAGTACAATTGTCTGGCGTTGATAGACAGTAAATACTAAAGTAGGGTGCATTGCCTGCTAATGTGTTAATAAGAGAGATTGGCAGATGCGTTTGTTAACCCATTTACTGACAGTACTGTACCACTGACAAGTAAAATCGTCTGGCATTAGCCATTACACAGTGTAAAAAGGTTAATAGACCTTAATATCCACTTTTGACCCAATGGCCTCATTTTCATGTTGGTTATTTACTCGTGTTCCGTGCACACAATTTAAGAATAAGTTTGTGATTGGGCTATAACCTTCATGTGCAGGCTTGCCATGCTGCCAATGACGAAACGTGGAAATGAGACTATTGGGTCAAAAGTAAATTTCCCTTTAGAGAATTGTCTAGAACTATAAACATTTTCATCCAGTTCATGTGCCAAAAAGGCAGCATTTTCCCTGCGATAGTAACTCCTAGTTATAGATTAGCACCATAGGTTTCCTGAAAAGGTCTTTTATTTTTTAAAGAAATCCATACAATTTGCTTTTTTCGTTTACGATTTGTATTCTTGTCTATTGCACCATAGCACGTATATCGTCATTTTCAGGTCAGTATGAACGCCTGAGCAGGCGTCTTGTTATATATACCTTCTGGCACTGCATTATTGTGCACTTTGTGCATAAAAATTGCCATTTTACTTTTGAAATGAAGTTTTAACGGCTTCCATGCGCACGGAAAAATCTCAAATAAATTGCTAAAATTAATAATAACTTACAAACCGAGAGTGAGGGCTGTACGGTAAATTACTATTTGACAATAGTGTAATTTTACCAAATAAGGACATGACAACACGAAAAAATGGGTACGCACTGCGTACATGTGGCTAGCCTTTGGGATTTATATAGGTACGCTAAAGCGCACATGCATTTACGCACGGTACCGGTGTTAGTGGATTAGTGTTTATAAGATTATACATAGTTCTCTTAAGTTAACTGATGTCATCTAATTGAGGACGTTTGTCAATCCATTCAATCGGAGATTGTGTTGCAACGTGCTGGTAATCATGTGTTGTTAATGATGTAAAATGCTCACGATTCAAATAGTCTGTATATTATGAAGTGTATGAATTGAGAAATTGAGTAAAGGGAGAGAAAAGACTGACCCCAAAACTTTTTCTTTTGGTAGTGTCTGCACTCTCCTCCGCAGAGGAGTAGGGATGGCAGATTTCGTAGCATCTAGGGTGAGAAATCTAGGTTGGAAACATGTTTCCGCCGTTTTGTTGCTGCACTGAGCGCTTGATCGAGACTTTTATTAAAAATATTATACTAATGCTTAAAAAGAGTAGCTTAAATTATAGCTTTCTTGGCATTGCCATTGCCATTGCCCTGAAAAGTTCACAAGTATTAACAAGGTATTAATGTAACGCAAAGTCATTTATTCTTTCTACTGGGGATACAGTACGTTCATCATTCATTTCAGGATAGCAGGTGTTAGTTCATATGTCCAAAATTGCAATGAATACATCTTCTGTTATTAGTTGAAAAGCGTCCTGAAATATGTAAAACCATTAAAGGTGCATAAGATTCCTTCTGAATTTTCAACTTCTGTGGTCTTCCATACACTACAGCTTTTGCTGCTGATCTGAAATATTTAATTGGTCACTGCCAGATGGAAATCTTGTTTATTTATACAGTTTCATTTTCCAATATTTACTTTTCAGCATTATCCAATAGTAGACACAGCTTGATACATTATAAGTTGACCAACCATTAGGATTTTTCCATGCAGCATATCATCCATCTGTATTAATTTAAAGGTCAGGCTTCTCCTTATTTACAAACGAGACAGGTAAAACATTCTTCTCAACCAGTAACATCTTCACAGTGATGTAGAGTATACAGTCTAGCATTATTCGCCAGGTGGAATTCAATGGTGGTAGAGACAGTTAATTTTACCGATTACCTCCTGGTAACCTTGAAAGGGGCGATTATTTTGTGTTTCTGTTCCATCTACAATGTTTAGAAAAGTAATATTACTGTACTGGAAATATGTTCTATGGCCTGTTCTCCACTTCAGCCATTTTGTAACATACAGTACCATATTGTTTCCTTTTAGTCAAAATAATGTCATTAGTTCCAGGCAGTTAGTTCCCAAAGGCCAAAACAATACGCTACAGTATGTTATATTACTTGTAAAGTGGAAGAAGCATTGTTGAAAGGGAAAGAAGGAATCTCTCAACGCCAAAACAACAAATGCACAGAAGTGACCTTGAAGACTAAGTCGAGAGTATTACTTACCTACTGTATGTTTTCAATAAGAGTAGTTTCTGTTTTTGAAGTTTTCCCTGATGTTCCCGTGTCACAATACAAAATATAATATAGGTATCTAAGAAAAAATATAAGAAATCAGTGAAATATATAACATGAAAATGAGACATGTAAAAGACGGGAAGAAAAGAAGAGAAAAAAATAAGAAAAAAAGTACCTTAGTATAAAATTTTCAATCACATATAATTTACAATAATTAATTTTTGTAGAGCACATTTGGTGCGACTGTAATTGGGATGCAATTGGGATCGTTTTTTTGTTCAAGCATATTAACCTTCAGTTGTCTATTTTGCCACATGTAAATTTAGTATAATATTCTTACTTCTATGTCTTTAAAGAGGCCCATATAGCTTTATCGCTTCCTTTCCTTAACACTATGTCAGCCATATATCCTGCAACGATTAGCTCTGTTTTCTGTGCGCGGACATTGCGCAATTGACCAAGTCAGACAGCAACTGGAATAATTATGGCAATGTGCGTCTTGCGCAACGCACATGCCAATTTATTAATTTTTTAAAACAATGAGATAATTATTAACATAACAAATTATAAACCGAAGTTAATTATTAAAAGTTCGCACAGAAAAGGTGGGGTAATAAATACGCCCACCATTTAGAAATTAATTTAATAACTAAACTAACTTACATATGTAATAATATTGCGTCAAGTAACGGGGAGGAAGGTGGGATATCAATTGACTTCAGCCAGAGAGTTGACCTTGCGCGACCAGATTGAAGAGTAGAATGAACTGATGCACATATTTCTGTAGATTATATCACCACTCCTATCCGCTTCCTGCGCATTACATTCATGTGACTACAAATTATCGGGGCTAATACCCCCGTGTCCCATTACAATAGCTCCCTATCTCTAAAACTAGATGCAGGAAGCAATAAAATCTTTATTGGTATGCCAATAATTCCTTTATCGCTTCCTTTCCTTAACACTATGTCAGCCATATATCCTGCAACGATTAGCTCTGTTTTCTGTGCGCGAACATTGCGCAATTGACCAAGTCAGACAGAAACTGGAATAATTATGGCAATGTGCGTCTTGCGCAACGCACATGCCGATTTATTAATTTTTTAAAACAATGAGATAATTATTAACATAACAAATTATAAACCGAAGTTAATTATTAAAAGTTCGCACAGAAAAGGTGGGGTAATAAATACGCCACGAGTCTCCTTGGGTAAAGGAGGCATACCCCATCCAATCGTTACAAGGTATCCGCAGACATAGTGAGGTTAAAACCTATAAAAACAACTCCAAAGCGAAATCAGTGCGTGGATTATTACTGTCATTATTAAGCAAAAACATGATAAGCGACCGCCGACAGTTTGTGCCCATGCGTTAAACTGCCAGGGGACGGCCAACCTGCTAAAGCGAACGGTTGTGTAGAAGCCTTGCCCATGCGTTAGCCTCACAGAGAACGTAAAACAGTGATTAAATGACACGTACATTTCTAGTATCTTAACACGCACATTCCTATATTATATCAAGTCTTGCCCTTGCGTCGACTTGACAAAGTGTACTAATTACTAAACGGGTTTATCAACAAGCAGCCACAATCAATCCCTACAAAAAGCCCGACCTGTATAGTCGGAGTGTCTGATTTAAGTCACAAACTAGGAGCACGAATATACTTGCGGAAAGCGTCGGATTTCCAACGGCCCATTAGTCGTATTTGGGCATCGGAAAAACCGCATTCGGCAGCAAATGTAGCCGCGCCGATGTGAAAACTATGTCCTTTGTACCTGTTTGCATCGAGACCGCACGTGCGAAATATAATAGCTAAATGGTCTGTGAACATTTTGCGTGAAATTGCATGCCCGTCACGAGTTTGAAAAAGAGGGCCATCAGCTAAACCATGATGTGCAAAATAATCTAGTAAGCTCTGCACTGGGCATACGTCTGAACGTCGTTGAAGAGTGAGCGAGACGTTAGCTTGGTTGTAAGAATGCTTAAAATTCAAAAATGTTATTTTTAAACCGCTGACGTTGCCCGCATTATCCACGAGTTGAACGACCTGCCTCAATTGCAGTACGTCTGGTGACCGTGGACAACAAGTGATTTCGCCAACTCGCAAAAAGGCAAAAAATGCGGTCGTGCACATAGCTTTGAACAAGTACCCCCGATACTCACTCGAACATATAGTTGGAGTTTGCTGTAATACGGTGCGAAGGATAGGGAGAGTTATGGGCAAGCGTGTATCAATGCATGACCCAAGCTTACCATAGCCTTTCAACATTTCGACAATCCAAAACACTTTAGTTGGGTCATTCACCCCTGCAAGACGATGCCAATATCCCAGTGCAGAAACGTACGTGTTGGCCGTCGAGGCCGCATAATTGCGTTGAAACATGTACGAAATAAATAGGCTTAAGTTGGCGGGCGATATAGGCAATGAGACTAAAGCTGAGTAAAAAACTGCACTTGAAAATTGGCTATATAGTTTCCAGACCCGGCGATAAGTAGGGACTGACGATGGCTGTAAACTAGATTGAAGTAATTTAGTTGTTAGAGCGGCCAGTTGTACGGGAGTAGTTGGGCTGGTATGACCGTTGGTGACGATTGTACACCCACCGGAGCTAGCTGTTTGAACTTCGAAACCTGCAATCGAGATAAAGCGTCAGCTAAAACATTTTTGACACCCGGTACATGGCGAGCGCGGAATAAAATGTTAAATTTCAAACAAACCAGCACCAGTCGGCGAACAAATATCATAACAGTCACATCGCGTGAAGTGGCTTTATTTATAATATCGACCAATGCCGCATTATCCGTAAAAAAGGTGATACGCTGGTTTCGCATCTTATCTCCCCATACGAGTACGCTGAGTACAATTGGGTAAAATTCCAAATCGCGATGTTTAATTGCCTCCAATTGGGGGGCCACACACCGAAAAACCACTCATCGCCGAATACAGCACCGTAGCCCAAACTACCGGCAGCATCGGTATATATGTTTAAACTGAAGGAATCATTCCAAACATCACTGAGAAAAAACGATCGGCCATTAAATTCGTCCAAAAAGGACTGCCAGATGACCAGATCGGCCTTAACCGATTTAGTTAGACGAAGAAAGTGGTGCGGGAACTTGATGCCTTTAGTCAAATCAATAAGACGGCGCAAGAAAGCCCGACCAGGGACAACTACCGAGCAAGCAAAATTAAGTAAACCAGTTAACGATTGTATTTCACGCAAAGTAACTTTTTTGCGACGCAGAAAGCCAGATATTAGAGACTTGCATTTATCGGTCTTGTCGTCGGGTAAACGGGCTTCCATGCGCAAAGTGTCTAATTCAATGCCAGCAAAGGCGAGAATAGTTTGTGGGCCAACAGTTTTGTCCGGTGCGATTGGTATGCCTAAATATTTACAGAGAGATAAGAAGCGGACAAGGTCAATGCGACATTGGTGATAAGTAGGTGACGCCATTAGATAATCATCAAGAATGTGGATTAGATGTGGGATTTGCAAGTGTTTCTTAGCAACCCATTCGATAGCAGTGCTAAACATCTCGAAAGTGCGACAAGATGACGCACAGCCAAAGGGCATAACACGATCATAGTAATACTTCCCTTGCCAAAACATTCCTACGAGATCATAATCGGATGGCCTTAACAGGATAATACGAAATGCGCTCTTGATATCCGTTTTTGCTAGGAAACAGCCGCGGCCTAATTGTTTGATCATTTTGACGGCATCATCAACACAAGCATAATGTACAGTCGAATGCTCGTGAGCAATGCCGTCATTAACAGATTCACCACTTGGAAAAGACAAATGGTGGATT